GGCACAAATAAGAGTTCCAATGAACATGTACATATGGCAATAAATTCCTCTACTGTACTTTAATTACAGAAACATAAGGAATATTACAAACAAGAGGGAGCATTTTAGCCATTTACAGTTATTATTACAGTTAAGTAGGCTACCTAAATTGCTATCCAAAATTGTAATTACTAGAAGAGAGAGTGACAGTTATCATAGTTACATTTGGTAGTAACTGGTTGATCCAAATAGTTCATCCAGGTGTTTTGTGTGATTGTAGATCCCCTCACAGTTTTTTTTGTCCAAGTATATAAAAGGGTTAGTTCCTTCAGCCTATCATTCTCGAGACTTAAGTTCCATAATATTGTACATCTGGTTGCTCTTTTCTGGACTTATTATAGAGCTGCTTCTACATATCTCTTCTATGCTTTGGTGATAAAAAAATGTATAAAATATTCTAGATGAGGCCTTCCTAGTGTGTTTTACAATTTTAAAACTATATCCCTTAATTTTAATTCCATGTTTATAACTATATATCCTTGCATTTTGTTTGCCTTTTAAATTTCTTTACCAAAGAGTCTAGAACATTTACTGTAAATGATGTCAACATGAACTAAGTCAACTACATTTGTTTTAATTCATTCAGTTTTTTTTTTCTAGCTCAGCATTTCCCATTTAAAATGTATGTTTTTAGCCCCTTTGTGCAAAACCCTGCACTTGTCTACATTATACATCATCTGCCAGGTGTTTGCTCACTCTAGAATTTTATCTAAATCTTTTCAAATTTAATTTTCAGCCTCTACAATGTTTGCTAATTTTCCTAATTTGATATTATCTGTAAACTTGACTAGTCTAGATTCCAGAATCTAGATCACTGATATAAATTAAGAAGAGGTCCTACTACAGATCCCCGTGGTACTCCACTACTTACATCACCCTAATTTGAGTGTGCATCCCTTATGTGTATATATGTCTATTTAATAACCAATTCTCAATCCAGACACTCATGTTCTCTGAATGCCTGCCGCAAACTGCAGTACACTTACTGTACATTAATGGACTACTACCTTACACAACAATTAAAAACAATATCAAGATGCAACAATTTCATAACTTCATCCCTAAATATACTTTTAGAATTTGTGTTTAACATTGTTTTTTATGAGAAAGCATTGTAACCAAGTTACTTAAATAAGTTACCTTATTATACGTCAAGTATTCCCCTTACATGATATGACAAGCTTAAGTTTTCACAGAGCCCAACAAAGACATCCTGAGAGCTGTCTGGGTAAGAGAAGCAGTGACGATCATGATCCAGATTCCAGGCGGCATGACAGACAACCCCCCTTCTGCTGCCCCCACTCCTTAAGACCGCTTTAGATCACCTGTTGCATCATACAGCAAGATGAAAAGATTGGATCTGGCCTAATTAGATTTTTCTCCTCTTTGTTATCCAGGTTAATACTGTCTTCAAGGGAAATTCTGTTCTCAAACTGAGTAGTGGAATGGAAATTAGCAAAGAAACAAGACCCTGCTATGTACAGGCGGTAGGTACCCAATGTGACACATTTTTGTTTTTTTTTTCTGTAGAGAAATGATCTCATCAGAAGCATATGCTGAAGGGTGGAGATGGCACTGTGGGTCAAATTAAAGACAGAGGCACTGTTTTTCTTTCCTCTTCACTGACCATGTAGATCATTAAGAGAAATTTTTAAGCAGCATAATTGTCATTACTGTCAATTCCCTGCATTATAAATCCATTGAGCTACCGATATTTTAATGTAGTGTTGCAATTTCTCCTGTGAAAATGTGAAAATAATTATTGCTGCCTGTTGGTTTTTGATGTAAGATGTTCGATGTAACATGAAAATAAAAAGGTTTATGAATAAAAACTGGTGGTGCATTCATTTTCTTCTATTCTAATTCCAGCTGCTGCTCAATTCAATCTGATCCCACCCATAAATATTCATTTCCAATGTCTGAATTGTATTGAAAGGAACCGAGCAATTCCAATTCCATTTGTAACTATTGATGAAACACTTCATAACATCTTGGAAAGAGTATGTAATATTATGGGAAAATATCACTCTAAAAAAAAAATTAAATTTGCTTTTAACTTTCTCAAAAATCTGAGGGTCAGCTTCAAAACTATAATAGCTTGTCATGTTAAATTAGAATTTTCTTTCATATAATTTGCATAAATTCACTTAGGATTACAAAGACTGATGTGCAAGCCAATTTACATTATGCACAGTTCTTAATAGTGTTTGTTGGTTTAAGATGTTCACTTTCAGCCCAACAATTTCACAATTTGGTTCCTAATTTTGCTCTGCTTTCCAAATCTATTGATTAATTCCCTGATGGAATAAGCAAAACCATTAAAAAACACGGAGGTAGTGAAATGTGGTGCTGCACTTATTGTATGATAGAAAAGAAAAAAAAGTATCCTAAATAGCAGGCATTTTTGAAGAATGGTTTTCTCCTCTCAAAATGCATACATTGAAATATTTTATTAATTTACTTCCACTTGTCACATTTTGAGTGGCACAGTGGTACACTGACGCACGGGTTGGCATTGCTACTTCTCAATGCTGGACCCAAAATTAAATTCCTGGAGTGGTATCTGCATGGAGTTTGTATGTTCTGCACACATTTGCATGGGTTTCCTCCAGGTGCTCTGGTTTACTCCCACAGTGCAGACTTGCTGGTAGGTTAATTGGCGTCTGGGGAAACTGGCCCTGGTGTGAGTGTGTCTGTAGTGTGTGTCCAGACTGTACCCTGCTGCTTGCTGGGGATAGGCTCTGGCTCCCCCATAACACTGAACGAGAAGAAGCTGTTAGAAAATGGACAGATGGACTGTCACATTTTCAGATTCCCATAAAATAAAATTTCATAAATAATTAAACTGTTGAACAGTAAAATGTCACCGCCTTGGATGAACATTGTCACAACGCTGTTTCTTAGGGTTATTTACCAAACACGTTTATAAGCATCTGCAAATAATGTTAAAAATGCATGTGCACTGACAAACATTGTCCAGTAGTTTCTGAAATTATTTTATAGAGGGCTTTCTAGCTGATGGTGAGGATCTAACACTTGATTTCTAAGCATGTTTGTGCATAATCTAGATCACAAAAGGGCATCTATTGTGTGCCTTACATAACTTATCCATATCATATTTATAAATTCATGAAAGTGTTTCCCATGAAAGCGTGGTGGAATCAAAAGGAAGAACTTAAAATATTCATTCGTCGGACAAAAAGATGTGTAGCCAAAGTTGCAGGCTGGATACAAGCTATTGTTACCATATACCATGACATTTGTTTATCTTCTATTAAGCTAACAAAGGGAAAAAGAACCTGGCCCAGCTCCCTCAGGGTACGTTACACTCTGCACTAACACGCTCTCCTTGTAAAGCTGCAAGAGCCACAGCTGCTGAATCTAATGAATCTTTAAAGTACCTTTCAAAGAATTAAAAAAATAACCATTCTTAAAGAATTTGTTTTAAGGGGGCACAACTGCCACCTTCTCAGTTGGTTTTAAATCGATGTAAACAAAAAAAAACTGAGCATTGCATCAACACATAGACCAGAATTCTGTAATATCAGACAAACTGCTGTCGTACTGATATTTGGATGATGACCCTATCCCTTGTCAGTATATTGGTTATGTAGGTTAGCAGCAAATGCAACTGTAATGTGATGTGTACGAGAAGCTGAGCGTGTTACAGAAGAGGAACTGTTGCAAATCAGCCTAGTCAAGGCAGGAGATCCAGATTAACTGGCAATGATGGGGAAAAAAACGCAAAGGAAGTTTCACTTCAAGGAAATGTAGAACATTAAATACAAACTTTTCTATAGCACCCTTGAACGGGAGCCTCCCAGAACACAAAACGTACCAGCAAAGTACACTTAATTCATGTGACTGGTTACACACCTGCATGATTTATGAATTTAAATGAATATTTTCAGGATCCCTAATTCTGTCTGGAGTTTGAGAAGCAGGGAGGGCAAAGATTCAAGACCCAACTGAGCGAAGAATTTCCAGAATAAACAGCAGGTTCCACCAGAGTCCCACTGGAGAACTGAAATAAAGGAGCTGAGGATCCAAACGATTGACTTGGAATGGACTGAAAACACCAGCACACATTAGAGTATTCAAAATACGGAGGCACTCAGAATCCGCCTTAATGTTCTCTTTGGGGCCTATCCAAGACACGTTCATAAAACAGCTTCTCAAAACGACAAGAATGCAGACGGTTTTTTCTTTCTACCGATGCTCTGTTGAATATCTAGCTCAGTGGTGAGAACGAAAGCAATATTCGCATTACTGTAGTTAAATCGAGCAAGTACAGTAGATTGCGCCAAACATCGCATGACGAAAAGTATAGAGAAGTCCGTTTTCTTACCTGAAATCTTGTGGTTTCTTTGGAAAGATGTCATGCCAGTTCCGTCATCTTTCACAGGTCGTGCTGAATAGATCCATGGAAGAATTAATCTTTAAAAGAAACATTTTAATTACTTTTAAACAGCAGTAACACACGTCAGCCGTTCACAAATTTGCTAAGAAAATTAACATGTCAATCGACAGATCACAATGAGTTTCAATAAAAAATGTGGTCGTGCTGATGTAAAAGCTTTTTGTTTGTTTGAAAACTTAAGAAAAACATTCCGCACAAGACGTATTCTTGCCACTTTATACACAAATATATTTGCGTGAAGAAGCTAAACTCTTCACCCAGCCGTTTAAAAGGTAGTTTCAAATAGTATATTTCCTACTTATTGTATGTGCATATAACACTTTAATAAGCCAAATAATGATCATTTCTGGAAAAGAAATATTGGACTGATACATTAACAAAACAAGGATATAGTGTTATCGCCATAGAGTACCATCAAAAAGTTTTCTCGGAACTCGCGGTTGAACTTGGAAATCGTTAAAAAAACACACACATCACATTGGCAAGCGGCCGTGATTTGCTCATCAAAATACTCTCCAGTCTGAGAGCTGCCCCTGGCACACTTCGCCCGCGCTTAGCGTTGAACGGGTCGGTCGAAATTCCCAGTGACAGACGATCTTCGGACAGCTACCGACGAGAACCGCGCAGCTAGAAACCCCAGTTAAAGCATAAGCGCACGCTTAGCACCTTTCAGCGATCGAATACAAAAGCCACATGGAGAAAGCAATGTGGAGCACCTTTATTTTTCAGATGCCCGGGATATTTTCTTTCAAACACATTGAACCTTGTAAAAAAAAGTTCAAAAAGTCTCTTACCTGATCGCTTAGGTAAGTGATCTATGCATGTTTTTACGCATAATCAATGCACTGAAGAAGGCACTTCTTCCACGTACTGTGTGGATTACAATGCTATGCCACAAAGGCAAACTTACTCGCGTCTCCTATTTATCTTTTAGTAACCAGCATCCATTGGTATTTGATAATATGTAGCAGTTGGCAGCGTTCAACCACGCAGCTTCTTAGAGAAGAATTTTCCACCAGATACAGTAAAGGCTGGTTGCGATATGACCAAACCTACAATGCAGTATCAGAGGTACAGCTGCGAAAATTGCACGTTTCTGAGTAGCAAACACTGAACGTTGCTGCTAAACATACAAGATATGCTTACACAGTTGCGTTTAATGAATTACATCATCCGTACACGAAAAAAGACTTCACGAAGAACCAGCCCGTTATGCGAGGCACTCCAGCCTACAGCGCTCAGTCTGGGTGGAGCTGCGAGCTTGTCACACAGTGGGAAGTGCACTATCGCGCAATCTTCCCCAGCGCTGGTCTCTCACAGGCGTCTCGATCCTCGATGTTGCAATTCGCTTCTCAACGTCCGTCGCCCTCATTAAAGAAAAATGAATTCCTAGGTGTAATCTGATTATTCTGTACAGTTGGAGAAAAACTGGAGGAAAGACGGTCTCTTTCGTTTTTGTGCGCAGGTTGCTTACGAAAGAAGTATAAGGCTGGTTACAAAGTCATGCAATTAGAGCAGACTACCTCTGTAACCGTGTATATAACTCTGGATTGTGTTCCCAGCTATTCACATAGAAAGTACCAGTATACCCTCTTGGGGGTTATTTTGAGACTTTAAAATAATATAAAATCACTACTTATTCTCACAATAATTAACTACCTTTCGTTACAATTTATGCAATTACTGTATACCACAGTGTATAGAAAGATGTGTTTCCAGTCAAAATTAAGAACAAGAACATTATATGGGATATTATGGATGGGCTTTACCGTCTACTGCGTTAGTAGCCGTGCAACTATTCTGGAACCGTATGCATGTATGAATTAAACGATATTGTCTAACTGTTAGGTGGTGTTTCTACGTAACTGCATTCTGATCAATTCTCCCTCGGCGATCTGCTTCAGCGCTATAAAATCAAATTAGTCATCCGCGACACTGTTATCTCTTAGAAACCGACGAAGATAATGCACAGTTTTTAACAGCGAACCGTTAAAATATATTTTTTTTAACTTTGCGGGGAGAGCTACATAACTTAATGGAAACATTAAAACCCACTCAGCAGTTTGTAATCTCTCCTCGAAGAAAAAAAAATCTTGCTCTCCTCCCGAGCTGTAGCCGACACGCTGTCACTTTGGAGTCGCTTCCAACATGAAAGATTTCCATGGATCTTCCCCAGCTGCCTCACCTGCTCCGAGAACTTCTGTTCTCTCACAGCTTCAGTTCTCCTGTCACTGGGCTCATAATTAAGTCTTCAAATCACCTGGCGCCTGTTTATTCTCCACTTCTTCCCTCTAATTAGCTTTAGTCTTGTGTGTTTCTCTGCTGCTTTCTAACCAAAACACATTTTGCAGGAAGACAGGCTTCTGAAGGTTTTTTTTTCACACCGCACTGTCTTGGTCGAAAACCTTCAGACGGCTCTTTCAGCCGGTTCGCACCAGAACAGTTATTGACCCTGGCTGTGGACAGGTAACTGTCTGGAGAATGTGCAGAACACGATGTTTACAACAGTGCCACTCACCTGTAAGGTCAAGACACATAGCCTATCAATGCAAACATCCAGCCTGTTGTTTACAGAGCATTTTGCCTTGGAACACTGCACTGAACGCATGTAGCAATTGTGAGGTGGAATCAGCCTGGTTTCCATGGGAACCACCGCCAGTACTTTTGGCCTTGTTTGATGAACCTTGAAACATATCAAAGGACTGAGTCTTAACCATGCATCAACAAAGCATTTCATTGTTAAATGCATATTACAATACAACTACAACATGCCCCTTGTAAAGAAGGCTTCATTGATGGATACTGACCATCACAAGAATGCCAATTTTAGGTCCACATGTCCACAGGTCCACAGGTCCACAGCTGTTAGAGAGTTATCTCTGGTCTGCTTATTCAGAATGAAAACAAAAAACCTTTGCTGATTAGTCAAATGATCATCAAATTGTAAAAGCTTTAGTGTCAGGATCAAAGGAAAACACCTCTCAATTTATAATATTGCTTTCTGTGACACACTAAAATATTTTACCCAAAGGCAAATAACAGAATTAAAACAAAGGAGGACTTTAGGCAGTACATTTGTGGGGATGTAAGGATTTACCAGTCAACATGGAAATTAACTGTTGTTCTCAACCTACATTGCAATGTTTCAGTAGGTGTTTGATCACCAATAATTACTTGAGGAGGTTGATTTATCTGAAGTATACTGCAGTGAAAAAAAATGTCTCTTTTACAAACAGAATGCAGTCTGAATAAAATTAATCAAATGGCATGGAGCACAATTACAATCAAGAAAAGAATCATTCAAGCTGATGGAGCTCATCAGACAAGCTAAAACACAGCAACACAGTTCTTGAGAGTGTAAATATAGGCCTATTCATCAGCAGAAGAAACAGGGTCTTGGTAATCAAGGACTAAGCCTAAGACATTGCTCCAGAATGTTGGTGTTTGGCAGTAATGTAAGCCTGGCCTTAGCTTAAAACTTTGTCAGAAGCAAAGCAGACAAATCATCTGTACTGACTGCAAATTTAAACAAATGTTTTTTTCTATTTTTTTGCACGGTGGTTCTAAAAATCTGGAAAGCATGAACTGTTCTGTATCACAGCAGATACTTAATTAGCTGTAATTAAAGACAGTATAAGCTCTTTTGTTATTACACATCCATGCACACCATGGCATTGTAATGTCAACTAAGAAAGGCAGTTCCTAGAGTTTCAATCAGGCTTGCTGTCAGTTCTAATTAAAATAACCATGGCAGAGCCATTCTTAGCTGGACAGTTCCTCCATTAGAATCATACGTCATCTCATAAAAGAGCTGCAGTCTAGTATGACTGTTCTCTTCCTTTGCGACATTTAGTTTTCAGTCACCATGTAAGCTGACACAAATATACTGTACATAATCATAGGCTTCTTCATACGTGGATGCCATTTATTTTAACTTGTGTAAAAGAAACATTTTACTTTTTCTTTTGATGCCATTTTTCAGACACACTTTGTTATGAGTTTATGCAGCTCTTGAATTTGTAATTGTACCCTAGTAGGGTACGTTATTCCTCTGATAACATTTTCCAGTGTGGCTGTAAAAGGGTGTTGACAGCATTGTATCACTTTGGTGGACATTTTTCTTAGTCCTAGTTTTCTCATTATCCTTCTCGGTAGCCTTTTGTACTGGAATAATTGCTCTAAATGGTCCAGATAAAGTGTAGTGTAGGATTTCTCAGTGCCTTGGTTTTTCTTTGAACTAAAACCCAGTTCTTGGAGGGCTTGGTGCCTCTTGGTTTTTGGTCTGGTTCTCAGTTACATAGCTGGTCTAATTATTTAATGAATGCATAATTGTTAATACTGATAAACAGGCATGAAGGTGATTTATAGCTAACTACTTTTACTGAAGTGCATTTTTCATTGTAAATTGTAAAAGACCTAAAGAGGAATGTTTTAGGCCTATATGTCTATTTAAGAACATCTATCCATCCATCTTATACTGGCTTTATCCTATCATGGCAAGCAATGGGCACAAGGCAGGGACATCCTGGACGGGATGACAGTCCACTACAGGGCACACACAGACACAAACATACACTAACTCACTCCTGGGCCAAATTTTTCCAGAATATTTCCAATTAACCCAGTAGCATGTGTTTGGACTGTGGGAGGAAACCCATGTGAATATGGGAGGAACATATACTGTAAATACCACACAGAGAGTCTAGGCCCCTAACACTACAAGAACTACAGCAATACTAAACACTACACCACTATAGGTTTATTCCATGCTGAAAAAAAAGAAAGAGAACACAACGTTTCAAACGTTGTGTTCTCTTTCTTCTTTTTTTCAGCATGGAATAAACCTATTACTTGTTCCTTTGCAGCCTACACATGCTGACGCAGCTACCCACCTGAACTACTACACCACTATGCTGTCCTAATTAAAAAAAAAAGGTTAATTCGTGGCTATTCAGGTTGGACTTTAAAACCTCGAGATACTAAGCTCCAGGAATACTCCAGGAATTAAGTTTGACACTCCCGAATTATAGCAAAGTGGATGTTACATAGCGAGAACTGAGAAGCAATGGATGTATAGTGGAACCTCATACTCATTCTATTTTTCAGTTGTTTGTCCTATTGCTAGAATATGGTGAAAAGTGCTGATTCACTTCTGAATTTTGCTCACTTACTTGACTATTAAGAGCGAGATTTTTAGTGAATCTGTATTTATTAAATTCTTTTTAAAATAGCGGGCAACAAGCTGTTATCAAAGAGATGCAGCAAACATTGAAGCTTGGAAACAAAAGGCATTTTTTTATAAACCACATAACACCTTTAAATTTAAAGGTGTTCCAGTTATCCAGGTATCAGGGTATGTTTTAACCGCTTGTGGAGTTCAGTGTAAGCGGTACAGTTTCGAAAAAGAGTATAACACTTCATGTGAATCAAAAGGGCCAGATAAATAATTATCCCATGAAGGAAAAGCGCATTGCAAGCACAAGGTGGCGCCAGTGGTCTTTGAAATATATGGTCACACATTATAATTTGAGAAACCCTGATAAAAATAGTATAAGTAAAATTGGTGTTGGAAATATGAGATGCTGCCTTTTGTGTTTTTTTTTTTGTTAATTCTTCTTTAAACCAAAAAAATACTTTTTAAATAAACAAAATCTTACCTGAATTGCAACGCATCCAGCTTTAAGAGCACGCTGATTTATTGGAAATGGTGTCAAAAACAAATTGATTTTATGAGGTATTTACATTTTTCTTTTGTCATAAACTACAACTACTTTAAATATTAAACTGAAAACGTCGAATAAAGTTGGCTCTGGTTGTCATGACATTTCTGTTGGCCAACCATAAAAAACACGGAATTTTTGTCTGAAATTATATTACCCACACACAAAAAACTTTACGTATAAAAACGTTCATTTTTATTCAGAATCAGACAATATGACCTTCAAAATAAGTATAATATCGGTAAATGTCTGAAGTTGTACAGAGAATGTTTTTAAATAAGAATAAATAAGAATAAGAATTAAATAAGAATTGCAATGTGTAAACCATGAGAAAGCCCACAATTGGCCAATCTGTGATGCCGGCCACATGCTTCTGTTTGTTTGGGTCATTGAGTAGTCGGATATCATGTGCTGAGCTTGATTTGGGTAAGAAAATTTACTTCTATGTATTTATATAGCATTTTATTTTCCAGTGTTCTAAAAGTAAAGAAAGTAAAGAAGCTGTTAGTCCTTTTTGTGTAGAAAAGCAAGTCTGTGCTGTCAAAATGTTAGCTGACTATGATTTTGGAAACTAATTCGTTTCCTGTTACTAAAAACGTGTTTTTTTAGATTATCCTTTCAAACTGCAAATGTATTCAACTCGTGGATACATTTATGTTTTAAACGGATTAGGAGTCACATCGCAATAGAGAATTTATGGTAACTTCATTTGGCTTCGATAAGGTCTAGAACAAAAATGGCAGTGTTTCCACCAGTTAATTCGTTGCCACAAGTCTTTCTTATGATCTCCCAGGTCTCCCGGTTGGTAAAGGCATGGAAAACATGAGTCTACAGGTGTTGCCTCTGGACCCTGTCGATCAAGGGACACAGAGGTGCAGACTTGGCCCCCGTTTAATGGAGTCTCTGGGACTGAACATCGGGACGCCAGTACACATTTCTGTCCTTGATGGTGACTGCTTGTGCACAGCATGGCCTCGGAGCGACCTGGCTGAAGGGTTCTTGCAGTTTGATACCAAATGCATCACGGAGGATCTCATTGGTGGGATTCCCAGGCCCCTGGCTGTGAGTCCCAGCCACATCAAGAAAATCGTTTGCCCCAAACTGAAGGGCATCAGAGTCGACGTCATTGTCCGTCACATGGAATTCAAGAAATGCTCGCCCCCTTCTCTGCTTCCTGAGCTGGTGAAAGACCTGCTCCGTGGCTTGTATGTTTCCCCCGATCATGTGGTTCCAGTAGCTTCCCTGGAAACTCCGGTTGAGCTCATTGAAGTTCGGCACATACACCCCTGCGGCAGTGAAGCGGGCCTCATCACTGCTAAAACCAGCATAGAGGTCGGCGAAGTCAAGACGCTCAGCCAGCACAAGACCCAGCTGCAGCATTCCTCCAAGATCCCCTTGGGAGGGATGGACGCTGTCTGCGATTCCCTGACAGAGATCCTGAAGTTGCCCCTTCTTTACCCAAGGTCACTGCACAGACTTGGTCTCTCCTGCCCCAGAGGAGTGCTGCTCATCGGGCCCCCAGGGGTCGGGAAGACCTTGCTTGTGAGGAGCGTAGCCGCGGCAGTGGGAGCCTCTTTGGTTACCATCAATGGCCCAGTGATACTCGGCTCAAGGCCAGGGGAGAGCGAGGAGAATTTACGGAAGATGTTCCGTCGGGCAAAGGACATGTCGGAGGAGGGGCCCTGCGTCCTGTTCGTCGACGAAATCGATTCCCTGTGCCCGAAGCGAGCCGGATCCTCCAGCGCGCCGGAGAACCGCCTGGTCGCTCAGCTCCTAACGTTGATGGACGGCATCGGCAGCGAAGGACGATTCATCGTCGTGGGGGCAACTAACCAGCCGGACACCTTAGACCCTGCTCTGAGGAGACCGGGGCGATTTGACAGAGAGGTGGAGTAACCGGTCACAGTCAAGTATAATCAAGTCCCATTCCTTCTTCTGCTGCTACACCAGTGAAGAAGGTTTAAGCATCAGTAGGTTCTCAAATTGCAGTGTTTTTATTAGACAGTTTTAACATTTAGACATAATAATATTTGTTTGCCGCGTTGTACTAGATCTTCTTATATATTCTCTTTAATGATGACATATATTCTGATGTATTAATAGTGTATATTGTATCTATAAAAATAACAGTAACCCTGTAGTTTTTTCTTATGTTTAGTTTACTTCTCAGAATTATATGAGTAACTGTATCCCTTCTTCATTCCCCACAGATTGTGATTGGTGTTCCAACACTTCTTCAAAGAAAATCCATTTTAGACATGTTGAGTTCGAAAATGTCTCTGTCCAGTGACGTGGACATGAATGCTTTGGCAGAAATGACGACGGGCTGCGTGGGTGCTGACCTGACTGCACTCTGCAGGGAAGCTGCTTTACAAGCCATTCTCCACAGCTCCCAGGTACGGCTTCCCTGACTCCTGTGAATTAAGCACACAGTTTTGCGAGGCTGGAGTCAGAATTACCTGGGATGTGCCAGAGTGTAGCCTGAGTTTAACTGGGTGTTTAAGGTGCAAACTCCGATATGAGGGAGACTTAATTACTTCTGCTTTTGGAAGGACTCTGGGTGTCACGTGATAAGCATGGAGAACTTCCTGCAAGCCCTGAAGAAAATTCAGCCCTCGTGCCTCAGAAGCAGCATTGGACTAACTGACTTTAAACACATCACCTGGGACCAGATTGGAGGCCTAGAGGAAGTCAAACTGAAATTGAAACAGGTACAGGATTTTGTTTTTCACTCACAACATAGTATGAACATCCTGACAAAAAAAAAACATTTACTGAAAGTATGTCTTTTAAAAAAAAATCTGAATCATCAATTAATTTTTATACGCACCCGATTTGCAGTAGCCAGTTGTGTGCGTTTCAGCTCTCGGCTCACAGCTACACACTCAGTGACGCCACCCTTGGGGGGGAATGAGGAAGAGCAGGCAGAGTCCTTCAGCCTGCCTGCCTTCAAGTCATCTGACCTTTAACACGCCACAGCAGCACAGCTCCCTTCTGGAGGTGCCTTACCGATAGAAGGAGAGGCGTGCCCCTTACTGCCAGCCCACACTCAGAGCCCAGAGAGCCTCCTCTAATCCTTTCCCCCATGCTGGGTATCCTGGTCACAGTCGGCTAGTGACATGACGTAGGCTCAAACCTGTGGTCATAGAGCACATCATAGTGCTCAGGCCTTTAGTGGACCACTCAGGAGACCCCCTGAAAGCATGTCTAATACTACAGGGACAAGGCGGGAAAAAACATTAATACCGCCTAGTGCACACTGTCAGATTGCAGTTCATTTTTTAATCGTACCTGAAATAACACGTAAACACAAAGCAAGTTTAATAATATATCTTCTTTTTTATGAAAACAAGACATTTCTTTAGTAATTCATGTTCACAGAGCATTGAGTGGCCTTTGAAGTTTCCGGAGGCATTCCTCAGGCTGGGACTGACGCGTCCGAAAGGGGTGCTGCTGTACGGACCGCCCGGCTGTGCCAAGACCTGTCTCGTGAGGGCAGCGGCTGCCAGCTCACACTGCTCCTTCCTGTCCGTCAGCGGCGCAGACCTCTTCTCGCCATACGTCGGGGACTCTGAGAAGGCCCTGGCCCAGGTCTGACCTGAGAGCAGCGCCATTGTCACCTCCTGGCACCTGCAGCTCTTTTACTCTTCACCTGACTAGATGTTGTTAAACAGTCAAACTTTCCTCTTGAGCCATGTTCTAAGACGATTGAACCGTATTATTTGAATTTCTCTTCCTTCCTTGATCGACGTCTGACTTCTTTAGGTAGTGCTCTGAGATCTGTACGGATTCTATTATGATTACCACCACCAGCTTTGAAACCAAAAAAAAATCAATGTCACATGGTGTTGTGAAACAGTATCTCTTAATCCCACTTCTTTTAATTTTTTTTAGAAATGTAACAAAAAAATGCAGCTTTTAGTTTCGCCTGTGTTGTGCTTCTGTGCAGAAGTGAGTAACTGAAGCTAGGAGCTGTTGGCTAAGGCTTTGCTATGTGGGTGGCTCAGGAGAGATAAGAAACCAGGCCTTGTGTTCCCTTTTCTCTGTGTTAGATCACAGTGTGACCTAAATAAAAGGCAAGAGACAGTCAGCACAGGGCGAGAAGCAGTAAACTGACCTTTGACGTGCATAAATCACTAGTTCATGCTGCACCCTGTGGGAGTGTCAAGAACCTGTTTCTTCTGACTAACAGTGGATATCTGTATGGGTCCAAGAAGAGTGTAGCATTGGTATCTGTCTTCTGTGTGTTATTTGAAAACCGTGTTGTGCCTTTCCATACTTCTGTCTTGTGTTTTTTACATTTATGTTTTATGTTTTTGTTCTTTTTCCGTTGACTTAGTCTACTGCCCACATGCTCCATGGTCCCAGCCGTGTCTTGGGAATGCTGCTTTTCCCTTTTCCAGACAAAAGCATGAAACAAGGAAGTCAACCAGCCATGATTTTCCCATGTTTCCCTGCAGGTCTTCCGCCAGGCCAGGGCCTGCGCCCCCTCCATCCTGTTTCTGGATGAGATCGATTCAGTCCTGGGGACCCGGGCAGACGGCCGGGCCCCCCACAGTGTGCACTCCAGGGTGCTGTCCGTAATTCTGAACGAGCTGGACGGCGTGGGCCTCCGGGTGGTGGAGAGGAGAGGGGTGGGGAGGAAGATCTGCCAGCCTGAGGGCTTCCCGGAGGAGCACGAGGAAGACCGTCAGGTGAGAGACCCCGCGTGCTGGCCACTGCCTCTCCCTTCTGTTCTTCACTGGTCACGTCCGCCCACTTACTGCAGAGCCACCGGGGACTGCAAAGCTTGTCCTTTGCGTTAATCGTGGGTGTGAGGGCTGCTCTGGAAGCTACAATGTTCAAAACTGTACAGTTGGTTAAATACTGCAGTCTCACATATGGATTGATTTAGTCCCTGTATGTGCTGTACAATTGCCATGATCTTTTTGAAATACCTCACTTCACAGTTTGAGATCTAAGTCATTGTGAGGATTATGTTCTCCTGCTGCCCTAATCATTGAGTCAGCAAATTTGATTACAGGTGTATGCAGGCATTTTTATTTTTAAAACGACCACATGAAACTTCAGCGCAATAATGATGGATTTCCGACATTTTCAGAATGTTGTCCCTTTAATGCGATGAAGCTTTTAATCCTATACAGTTGTCACTGACTGTGAGTGATACTTGAACTGATGATGGGGAGTGCCGCGCTTCAGAGGTGGATGATGTGAGTCCCCTCCAAAGTGGAAGGCGGCTGGCCATCCTGGCGCTGCCTGAATGCAGGGACTTAGTATTAGTCACTAATTCACTGTTAGAAGTGGTCTTTGAAGTGAGATGGTTTGGGCCTCAAGCTGTGAACTGCTGTCTGCTCCAGCTGAAGTATCAGGAGGTGTGTAACAAGGACGTGATGGTGGTGGCTGCTACAAACAGACCTGACACTCTGGACGACGCGCTGCTCCGACCGGGCAGGCTGGATAAGATCATCTACGTTCCTCCCCCGGACCTAGAGGTACACCGTCACAGCAGTTCTGATGTGTCCATGTTGAAAGTTAGCCTGATCTAGGTGCGTGTCACCTAAAGGTGCAGAGAACATGAAATCAAAGGTTTCACAGATCTTTAAATATTTTACTTAGTGCATGAATTTCTGGTTAAATATTTAGGTGCTTTCACATTCTTATTGTAACAAATATATATCTCCACACAGTTGAGAGTGTTTGACAGGTCTGCTGTTAGAAATGTTTCTCGTTGGTATCAGATTTAACCTAAGCCACTGTGGGATTTGCTAGATTGCAATTAAAATATTTCCACAAAAGCAAATTGTAAGGAATTCACTAGGTAATAGACAAATTGTTTGTAGTGTTAACACAAAAAGATGTTGGAACATCCTCTGTTATTTTGTACAAACCAGTTGTGTCCTTTCCATTAGGCAAGGCTCGCTATACTGAAGATCTGTACGGAGAAAATGCCTTTGGCATCAGATGTTTCATTGAATGAGCTGGCAGAAAGGACTCACTTATTTTCTGGAGCTGATCTGGAAAATCTTTGCAAAGAGGTAGGTGCTTTTAAAAATCATATTACTTATGAAGAATTGTCTTGGAGTCCTGTTCTTTTTTGAAGGTTGTGCTGCTCTAAAACTGATGTGCCTCTGCAAGCCAAATACCCCTCTGATTATTTTATGAGGGATTTGTTTTTACACATTTTTCTCACTGTGGAAAATGACCCAGGCATCATAACTGAAATGTGTGGAAGTCTAATACTTTGGTTTCAAAAAGAGGGTTAATAGGCTGATAAGGCCAGTTATACTTCGTGCGACAACACAGCTGAACAAAAAAATTAAAATTCCTTTCTCAAAGGTTTTGATAGGGTGATAATTTGGGTAAAAGGTAGAAACCAGGTGTGAAGCAAGACTAGATAATTATATTTAATGATGAGGTGGCAGTCATTCATGAAATGCATCTCTTTTCAAAGTGATGTTGAGGTAGTTCACATTATATTCAGAATGCCAGGACCCATATGAATGCTTCTGTACAGAAACACAGGAAGAATGTATGTAGATTTAATCTAATTAATTAAGTTTGCCTGGTAATTTTTTTCTGTTGCAATTATTAGGCAGCCCTGCTCACACTGCAAGAGGAAAGTATGGATGCTTCCAGCATAAAGCGAGAATACTTTCTGAAATCACTGCAATCTGTAACACCCTCCCTTAGCCCTGAGCAGGTAGAGTTTTATGAAAATCTATTAAAAAGGTAAAGACATTTTTATTAATCTGAGCTTTCTTGATGTTTGGAAACAGTATCTTTAGCAGTTACTCTCGAAATCCGGTTTCTTTGAAGTTCTGTTGAGGACTGTGACATCAGTATTAGAGGCCTTTAAATTATGTTGAAAGAACTGTATTGACTAGCACTCTTCTTCCGAAACAATATTTTAACATGAGTTTTTAAATGTAAAATGTACAGTAAATGTTTTTCTGTACCTATGAATACAGAGGGCAGAGAGAGTCAGTATAAACTGGCTACTGTTTCAGAATTGTAAAAATAATGAAAAAGCCTCCCTGAGACGATGTGGGCGATTTCGCCCCCAGAATTGCTCCCATGGATGACTGGTTCTGGCTTCCAGTATCTATACACAAACTCTGCGTTTGCAATTCCCATGTGTACTGTGGATGATCGCTTACAAACTCCTCAAGGGTGTTATTTTAGCTGAGTCACCCTGTATCTGCACATTTTCTATGAAGTATGTAAAGTGTACAGTATGTGCTATGTTCAATCATAAGCTGTTGTGAATAAAAGTACTTTTTTACTGTTGTCTGAACTTGTCTAGTTTTGGCTGAAGGATGCAGCTCAGACTACATCTATACATTAAAATGGAGTGGGAAAGGGTCACACATTGACAGCACTATAACCTTAGTTCTGTTCAACACATTTCTCTTATCATCATTTCTTATACACATTCTACTCAGCTATCCAAATAAAATTAAAAATCATCTCATTCTTTATTTTAATATCTTAATTATTTTTATAACTTACTTTGAATTATGGTAGAATTGGGTGTCACTTTGTTGTGTGTGCTGCAAACAAGGAATAAGTATGGTTTAATTCTGTGCTGGAAAATGAAAATGCATATTTAAGTTATAGCATGTTTTTCCACACACTTAGAAGAGTTTCTCAAGCCATTTTGTCTCAGCTTTTCTTTTCAGTGTGGAATTAACCTCTGCTTGTTCCATTAATACTCAGTTGTAGCCAACATCCCTGCTCCTGCTGGGTGTTCCCTTCTGAGCCCCTCCTTGTGTTTGTCCATTGATCCATGGTGGAGAGGTGTGTGTGGGAGAACATCCTTTCACATCATCGGTGACACTGGGGAGGCAGTCAGTTCTCAGCAGGAAATGCACCAACTCGTTCATGGCATGTTTTTCAAACCCATTGTGAGGAGCGGATATGTGTGCAGAAGATCACAGTTGAAAAAGGGGTTTATTTTTATCTTAGACAATGTTACATATTAATTATTATACAGATCTATATATGCACAGTATACTGTATATTAAATTTGTTTCATGGATACTTATTGATTTGGCTAAACGTATATTTAAAACTTAAGTTAAGATCCAACATCGTCTATACATGGTGTTGCAGCACAAACATCTTTTAAACCAAATCTTTGTTTCAAATTTTACATTGCTGAGTTCCGCAGATACTTTTAAGTCATCACTGTCCTACGACTGGCTGCTCTTTTGAATCCTCCAGTCTGCAAGCGTGACCAGCTTTGTCTGTGAAGGAATGACCTTGAGTCTGAAGATTTACCTCTATATCATATATCAAGTCCATGCTTGTAGTACTATAGCAATCTCCAGGTTACAAAATACTTCCTTTAGATAGGAATGAATCCTTAAGTTATAAATTCCATCATGTGATAAAAATGTACTGTGGCTTTACAAAAAGACACCTTCATGCCTGATCTTGTTGGAGCTTAGGGCTGTGCCTGGTCAGTACTGAAGAAGATATCCAAGGAAATCCTGGTGTTGGTAAACCAGCAGGTGGCACTCTTCCGTCTGGACCAGAATTTCCAATCGCATACCCAGGTATGGAGACAGGGGACATTGTTTTGTAAGAAGTGCCTCCCCTGAATGAGATATTAAACCATCATTAAAGATCCTGTGGCACTATGGCACTGCTTATAAGAGTAGAGGTGAATCCAGGCTACATTCTGTTCTGGGGTTGAATAAACCACTCTACACTTGAATAAAGAGAGAAATTGGGTGGTACAGTGGTTGGCATTGCCACCTTGCAGAGCTGGGGCACTGGAATTAATTCCTGAGGGGCTATTTATGTGGGTTTCCTTTGGGTACTCTGGTTTTCTCCCAGTGTCCCCTGTTATACTGGTGAGTTCATTTTCTTCTGGGAAAATTGGTCCTGGTGTGGGTGTGCGCATATCTGTGTGTGTGCCCTGCAATGGACTGGCTTCCTATCCAGGTTGTGTCCCTCCTTGCTCTTGTTGCTTGCTGGGGTTGGCTCCAGCTTGCGCATGACCCTATACTGGATAAAGTAGCTCAAAAATAGGTGGATAGATGGATAAAGGGACAAATGATTTCTCACTTCTATCTGCCTGGTAGTGAGGCTGCTGGCACATAATTACTGTCAAGCATCATCCAGTTTAGTGTAGCGAAGGGTGAAGTGGGTCCCCTACTATACTTGAAGAGCTTTAGGATCCTAATTCATCTGTTAAATCCAATTTTAGGAAACTATGACCTAGATTGCCTGATGGAGAAATTAAGAAACAAAATAGAAACAGCATGTTCTACAGACACATTCTACTCGTAATAGAGCCCAAGATTCAAAGACAGTAAAAAGAGCTACAAGCAACATGTGTAAGACTGGTGTGTCAGACCTGTCAAGAGGAAGGATGAAAAGAATATTGCTGCAGTAAAACTAAATGAAATTAAAGTAAATAGTTTATGTAATAGAAGTACATTAATAAGAGAAGGTAAAGGATTATTTTTTTTAGCTCAATAGACAACACACACATCCTCTGCAAAAGAACATTGAATATAAAACATCTACTGCTGCTGGTTATTGTTTCAACACTGTGAGATTTGTCTGCTTCTTTGATTAAGAATACTTCATTAAAAATGTGACACATACCAATTTTAAAAAAGTATTTCGCACTACAGACACCATAATACTTTAGCTTTAAATAAACTTTTACATTTGGGGAATTCCAAATAGCAAAAAAACATGGCAGGCAACATTTTTCCTCCGTTGGATCTCATAAATCCCCCATGGCCCCAGTCAATCACGGTGTGCCTCAGGGATCAGTCTTGGGCCCTTTACTTTTTATTTTTATGCTACCTCGCGGCCAAATCCAACACAAACATGGCCCTCAGTTTCACTGTCATGCAGATGATCCCCAGATTTATGTTAAAACTTCTTCTCCCTCTGGTCTCCCTCCCTCTGTCACTTATCTCTTGTTTGTGACATCAAAATCCAGTTGACATCAAATCCCCTGAAGCTAAATAGTGAAAAACAGTAATTTTACTGGCAGGTAGGAAATATCAGCTGGATAAACCTGAGGGTTTCACAGTAATGTTGGATGGCTTCAACATTCACGTGTCAGCCATAGTCAGGAATCTGGGAGTCACACACGATCTTCTCCTGTCTTTTGAGCCACATGTGAGAAATTTAAGACGGCTTTCTTTCACCTTTTACTGCCCACATTAGGCAATTTCTATCATTGTCCAATGCTGAGAGTCTGATTCATGCATTTGATAATATCAAAACTTGATTTCTCCAACTCTTTACTCTATGGGCTCCCTAACTCTCAACAAGTTGCAATATGTCCAAAACTGCAGCTAGACTACTTACTCACACCAGACCCTGGCAGCATGTCACTCCTACACTTAAGTCTCTACCCTGGTTGCCTATAAAGTCATGTATTCAATACAAGATCTTGTTAGTGACTTTAAAGGCTCTAAACAATCTGGCTCCATCATACATCTCTGAACTCCTCCATGTTCACACTCCCTCCTGTGGGCTCCGTTCAGTTGAGGCTGGCCCTCTGCTCACTGTCCCCAGGACTAGATCACAGACTTGTGGTGACTGTACCTTCTCTGTCTCTGATCCAGTGTTGTGGAATGACCTTCCTCAGACTTCAAATCTAAATTTAAAACTTACCTTTTTACCAAGGTCTGTGATTGCCTACATCTGTAAAAACCTGTATGCTCTTGTTTTTTTTTCCCCATTTACCTTTATTTATTTATTAGTTGATGTTGGTGTTGGTGTTGTTGGCCATAAGCTATATCACCCTGCAGATCCCAACTGGCTAAGCAGCATTAAGCCTGGGGATTACCTGGATGGCAGACCTCCTGGGAAGCTATGGTTGCTGCTGGAAGTGGTGTTAGTGGGACCAGAGGGAGGGGCTTCGGTATAGTGACGGGGACACTGAGACGTTAAACAAGAGGTCCTGACTCTCAGTGGTCATTTCTCGAGAAGAGTAGGAAGTTATCTGGTATAAAGCGGTTTGGCAAATGACATTGTTGTTGTTGTTGTTGTTGTTGTTTTTGTTGTTATTCAGAATAAGTTCGAGGGGGTCACTTTTTCATTCCTACATCCCCTGACGCTGTTGCTCCGGGTTTCTGGAGAGAGGCCAAGGCCGCAGAAACGCCGCAGGACTCGCCGTCTGGAGACGCGAGCGCGACACTCGAGTCGGGATCATTTCCACCTTAGTTCCTGAGATCAATAACACGTCTGCTATCCACAGCATTTTAACAGATCAAAAAAGTGAATGAAAGAAAAAAATTCACACTGACTTCGGCTTTTGCAGAGGGCGGAACATAGAAAACGTGAATTCTGTAACATAAAAGATTCTGCGTGTTTTTTCTTCATGCTTTATTACGTGCGTTTTGCATATCAGTATATGAAAATCACATTTCAGTTTTCTACAATACATAATTAAAAGTTTGTCTGAACATTAATAAGCTAAAAACATAAACCGCTATTGTGCATATCAAGACATACCCGATCGTGTATGTAAGTCGTATTATACTGTACATTCCACTGTTGAAGATGGTGTAGTTGAAACTGAATTGCTGGAAAGGCTCGTTTTGTTCGTAGCACTGTGAGATGAAACGTCCCTGAAGCTCTCGCTTTCGTTACTCTGGTTAAGGACGATGTTCCAGGAAACCGGCTTGTTTTCTCTTCAGTTGAAGCAACAGCCAACCCGAAGCTCGTCTGGGTGGCGGCGCACCTGCCGCGTCGAAGTGAAGGCAGCTCTTATTTTGTCCAGCAGGGGGCACGCTTACACCTTTCAAACGACACCAGTTAAACCATAAGTGTGTTGCACCAACCCACTACCTTGTATTAGTTGGCTTTGGTGGTTTGTCGATATATGTGTGCGTATGACTGTCTACGTGACTTGGACCTCGTCTCAATTTCCGAAAACGATATAAGGGGGGAGTGGCGGCGCAGGCAATCAGAGATCTGCCAGACAACTTTCGCAGCGGGTTGAAGGTAAGCGCATCTCCGTACCGATGCACCTTGTCGGAATCCGTCTGGAAAGCATCTGTCTGGGAGTTTCCATGTCGCGTTACTTGTATTTTTAATGACTGGTATCTGTGAAAATATTAAGTAATCTTAAGCACCAGAACATCGTTGAACAGGCAATGTGTTATGTAATGAAAAAAAGGATTGATTGGTGTTTGTTCTTCAATTTATTCAGGCACCACCAGGAAATAAAAATGTCTGCGTTTTTCCAAATGTTAAGGAAAAAGAAAGAAGTAAGTTCTATCCATCATTTGCCCCGTTTTATCTTTAACGCCAGGAAACGTGTGGAAAGCTCTTGAGGTGGAGCGGGTCTAACCTGTCATTTCATCCGAACATTTTACACGCAGAAGCGCAACACATTTTTGTTTTGTTTTTTTACAGCAGAGGAATGTTTTTAATGACAACCGACGTCAAAACTCTTTAAATTGTTTATTACTCACAACATGACTTTTAGCACATTAAGTGTGTATAACAACTGAAAACGAAGATTGTAAAGGTTTTTATTTTTCCATTTATTTTTTCCAGCTTATTCCGTTAATTGGTATTATGACCTTTGCAGCAACTGGTGCCACTACCGCCTGCCTTTACTTCTTGTTCACTAAATCGGATGTCATGTAAGGAACTTCATTCTTTCTCCCAGTCACTGTCGTGCGTTTGAAAATTAAATCGTCTGAAATAAAACGGATAAAGTGTCTTTGGTTTAAAGGTTTATAGTTTTGGTTTAAAGCTCCCGGCGAGCTGTAATTTCTGCCATGGAAAGAAACTTACTTATGTCTGAGCCTCGGCTCTTCCTGCACCGCGGATCAGAGAAGAGAATATTGATCGTGCAGGTGGGCAACAGGCGGAAAGAGCTCCGCGCGGAGGATGGCACACTGCCGCTCGCGCAGGGCACACAGGGCGATGGCGCCTGCACACTGGCTCATAGCCTTCGCTCTCTAAAAAGTTTCGTGTATACGATATTTGACTTATATCAAATGCAGAATAAATTCAAAATCTTTCAGAATATTTCATTTTTAGTTATATTTCATTTTTAACGGTCACAATTTGAAGTAGTTCAGGTCAGTAGCCGCGTCAGCTTGCGTAGGCTGCAAAGGAACACGTAAAGGTTTATTCCCTCTTTAAAGGGTCGGAAAGGAGACCTAACGTTTCGGCTGTGGAGCCTTCTTCGGGTGTGAAAGAGAACGCTACGCAGCTGAAACGTTGTGTCTCTATTCTTTACGTTTCAGCATGTAATAAATAATTTGAAGCAACCCGATTACTGAGCGTAAATTAAAAAAAAAACATTTGTATGTTCACCACACAAAAATCCGTTAAATATCTCTGATATTTTTTTACTTGTTTCATTGAGAACAAACTGTTTCTTCGTATTTGTTTAAAAGTGTTAGCTGTGAGGGGTTTCTATGGAGAGCTCTAAGCTCTCATCCAACATACAGTAGCAGTATGTTGAAGAGATATGCTCGCTTCAGTATATGTCTATTCTGCTTGGTATAGCACTAAGGGTTTACTTCTTTTCTTCTGTAGTAATGGTTTTATTTAGAACTGCTTGTAGAGTGAAGCTATGTCAAAAATCTTTTATGGTATTTTTGTGCATGTGGGTTTAATACCTGCAGGGTCAGTAATAGTAATGGCAGCTGTTTTTTTACAGCATTAACAAGGCAGGGAATCCCGAACCGTGGGAGAACCTAGATCCAAGAAAACCCCAAAAGGTATTTTCTGCCTTTATATTCTTTGGTTCGTGGCCTCAGCTTCAGTGAGCTGTGTCTTTAGACCCCAGTCTATGTGTGAACATATCCAATTAAGGTCAGAAGAGAATTCTCTGCAGAAATTGACTCTAGTTAGAAGTTCTCTTCCTTGCTTTCCTCTAAGCATATTGAGTTTCAGGTACCTCAAAGGACGAAAGAGGCTGATCCTTGAAGGATTGGTGTCAGGCTCAAGAATGTGGCATGGCCTCACTGGTAACAAAGTACTGGTTTCCTTCATGAAGTCTGCAGCTCACTGCCATAGAAAATGCAAGCTCACAGAGCAGATCAGACCATGCTGTTACCAGCGGACCTGCTGTCTTTCAGAATTAGTTCTGTAGACCTTGGTTTACAAGTGAACATGAGGTTGTGTGATAAGCAGTAATTACACTGCGAAAGTATTGATCTCTGCCTGGGTCAGGGTATAATAAAGATCGCACAGGTCGCTCTGTATTAAAATCTCAGCCTCCAGCCCATGAATGAATTACAGCTTGGAGGCATACAGGAATAGGTTCCCGGTTCTCAATTCTTTCCACGCCTTCCACATTCTGTCCTACAGGCAACACACTATCTCTGACCCAGAGTGTAGTTGTCCAATTCCAAGACCATTCTTGACTTTCTTTACATTACATTTACCTTAGCAGACACAGAAGTAACGGAACTATGTAAGTGCCAAGATCATAAAAAAAGGACATTTTATATAGCAGTATTGCCTGGGTGTGAATGAAATGGTAGTTAATGTAGGCCTCACTGAACACTAGTCATCCACGGGAACACGGAAGGAACATTGATTCCCTTATCTTACAAGAGGTAACGTGAGACTTGATTTCTACAAGGGGATGCTGGGCACAATATAGTCTGTTTTTTTTTTCTTTGTCTTGCAGCTCATTACAATAAACCAGCAGTGGAAGCCCGTGGAGGAGCTGCAGATGGTGAAGAGCATAACCAAGTAGAGATGACCCTGCCTGCTCTAAAGTCTCTGTGTCCACCAGCCTGCCTGCACCCTATCAATCTAACGGAATCATTTCTGCACAGACTAGACTCTGAGAACCAGTGTGCGGAAATGCTTCTGCTACATTGGTAGGGTCTGACCACCAACAGGTCTGTGGGACTGTAGTAGGTCCTTCAGCTGGAATTCACTAAAGCAAGCGCCGCACAGCTAGGAAAACAGAGGACTGAACATTCTGGCAGCTCGTCCTCATTAAACCATGTGATTGTATTATAGCAAAATGTGACTGATTACCCTTATTCACTATACTGATTAACATAGTGTACATAATGGCCTATAAAATAAAGAATGTAGTTCAAAGATCATGGCATTATTTTTGATTTTTCTGGAAAGCCAGTTCATCTAATACTGAAGGATGAATATTGGTATTTTACATCTTAGTCAGGTTTATTTCAGAAAATTAATGAGTGATTCATTTTCTAGCATAGCTTTAAAGGTGAGGCCTTTCAAAATGAGGCCTGTTCTAAAGAAAAGTCTTTGATTGCTGGGGTGAGGCTGACAGTTTAAATTAGGGTCTGGTAGCTTTCATTTGAGGGGAAACTTATTTTATTTTTTTCGGCCACCAAGTTAATTGTATGTTGGACAAAAATTGAAGGATAACAACCGTGAACTTTGAAACTGGTACCCTTTACAACTTTCTGTAATGAATTTCATTGAACTGTAAAACTACCCATAGGGTTTCCATGGAAACAACCTTGATTGTGTTCAATAACTAGATCAGCATGACATGAATCTCCAGTCTACACACTGACACTATAGTGCTCTTCCCTCCCAATTTAGGGTAAGTGTGAATCACAATGTTGTGAACATTATGAGAGATTAATAAATATAGACATATACTGCTGACTTTCCTAGCTAAGTTTATAACAGTAAGATATGTACTATTTCTTTTAAATAAAAGGTGAATTGTAATGGTGGGAATGAGCAGAACATTTAGGTTTAAGGACTACAGAATGATGTTCAAGTGTTTTTTCATTTTTTCTTGTGGATTTTTAAACTACATCTAATATAGCCTTCTTTGCATTTGTCTTCATGTGTTAAGCCAAAGGCTAATGCAATTCATACATGTAATGGGGAATAGTAACTACAGAGACTGATACATACTGTATTAAACCATTACGCAGTGTTTTTGTCTCACTGTGGTTCACCTAATTTATTTGAGCTTTTCCCTGATCTATCTAATTAGATTATGTCAACTGAAGACCTTGGAGCTGAGGTGATGTAGGTTTATGAAGGATGTCCAGTAAAAGTGTAAACATGCAGGTTTCAAATGTGCCAAACACAGTGATAGCAGTGAGCACGGTTTGTGGATCTACTAAGGGGATTGGATGAGCTCAGTCCTGGTGCCAGAAGTCAATTCCATTCCGGGTCTTCACACTCACAGGCCGGACTCATGCTCGTGCTGGGACAGCCTCAAGGTAAGATCAGAAGAAGCAGTTGGCTAAGATTCATGTTAACAACTCTGCTAAAAGTGTCCGCTTGATCCTCAGAAATATTGTGCTGTGTTTCTCAAGTTTAGATAAATGCGGTGGTTCTCTTCAGCCTTCGATCACTATTTTTCTTTATTTACCTCACAGAGTCAAAGCGAACTCGCTATGTAAACTCTTCGACCTAGCAGAGGTAAGACCTAGCCGGACGCCTTTGTGTATTTTAGGTCAAGTTCTTTAGATGCTGAGCAGCAACCACAGCTCTCAGGCTCCTCCCTTTAACAGCATTAATGCAGAGATGAGCCTGAAGCCAATTGGCTTCCTGGGCTCAGTCAGACAGAATGACCTGCCTGGCATTCCTGCGATGGGTTTTCAGATTAATGCAGGCTTCTTCTCAATTGCAGTTCTAATGGCTTTAGTATGGAACAACAGTCTGGCAGCCGGGCTGCTCAATTTCAGCCTTAATAAATAAGCAGTGGGCAGCAATCGCATTACGAAAATTGCAGTGAAATGGTTTTCTGTCAGACATTATATTTTGCTTCTGTTTTAAAGCTATATATATATATTTATATTGTATGCAGTTTGGTATTATAAGATAGTTAACCAACTAATATGACCCCAAATAAAAAAAACAAAAATCTTTAATGAAGGCAATTTTGAACATTGAACACAAAAATGACCAAACTTCATTAAGACACAGAAGAAGATTTCAATTATTTGTTTTTTTTTTGCTAGTCTTCAGGGTATCCTATGATGGGTGGGATGGTTTTGGATGGGTATTTGCAATTTATAACCTGTTTCCTTGGTAGTTCACACTCCCTCCCCCACATTCCCCGATGGATTTTCCTGACAGACTCGGCGCTAGGACACAGCTCACATAATGATAAGCAAGTCTCTGGTTTCAGCCGGTGAGCACTCAGAAAGAATACTGCTTCTGCGGTATTTCATGTAGATATGGGAATATGACTTATGGGCACAGAAAGAACAATGAAATATGGCCCTCGCTAGTTCAGTGAGCAGAATAAACATGAGCCATATACATTCTGTTATGGCTACAGTGCAGTGATGCGTCTGAGCCTTGTGTGCCTCTTGCTGGGCTTGTTGATTTATTGATACCGACCACAGAGATTTGGGGTCTTGCGTCATTGGTGCCAAATGAGCTCACTCTGGCACAATTCTGAAATTGTGTAAAGCTGCTGAAAGCACACAGTGACTTCATAGCGCTCACTTCCTCCTGGGACAGAATCTGCTCTTTCGTGGTTCAGAGGAAGGAGGAGGGCTTTTCGAGTAAAAGAAGTCTATCCGTTAACCATTACCAGAAATCTTATTCCCAAAGCCTGATCTGACAATAATCTGGGAAATTATCTGTAGCTGTTCTACGATTCATTTTGCCAATGTTGCAGCATTCACAGATTGTTTCAGCCTTATTACATCCATTACGATAGTTAATATTTTAATGTGATAGAGGTAAGGACTGATACAACTCCGATACTTATTTTGATGATTGTTTTATTCTACAGACACTGGTATTTTATATTTTAATATTAATATACCATATTGCATGCATGTGCAGACATACTGTATAATTTGCAGCTCCATGGGGAGACTGCAGTGCAGTGTATAGGAATCATTATCTGATTCCAGACTGTTATCCTTCTGTGTAGAGTCTGCATGTTCTCCCCAGGTCTGTGTAAGTGGGTGTTCTCTGAGTGCCCTGGTTTCATGCTGCCACCAGGAGACACACTGGGAGGAATTAACTCTGCATGCGATTATCTTGTGTTTCCAGAGTAACCTCCACAATCCTCACCAGGAATATGCAGCTTTCTAATAAAAGATGGATGGATCGTCCTGTTTCAAAAGAAACACGCGAAATGCTGATGGTCTTGATATCTGTGTGTGAAGGCTGCAGAACCGCATGACTAAGTGAAAAATACCTTTGAGTATTCTATTGCGGGTGAATTTTTGGTCTTCAGTTTACAAAAAAGGGAATCCAAAAGATCCGACAAAAGTCCACTTCATTCAGAACACGCTGTCCATGTGCATATTCTTCCCCTGAGTAAGACTCCAAAGGGAAGATCGGCGCTTTTGCTTCAGTGCCACAATAGTTTATACCTCCATGTTTCACTATGATATCTGCGTTCTGATCCAGCTCTTTCATTGAGGTATGGGGGGGCTCAGGCCATGAACAACTCCACAGAAACCTGCTTCTTATTCTAAAAAAACACAGATTAATTAAAGGAGTGTCTCCTTTTATCAGAAAAATAAACCTACAGGAAAGTAAATAAACCTATCCTCATGACAGGGTTTCAGGAGTTTTGAAGAAGCGAGTGTAGGTTTTTTTTGCATTTTTAGTTCTGGACGTTCCCTCAGAAGTCTCAAAACTAGATTGGAGATAAAGCTCAGAAAATATATAAATTAGATGAACAAGCTACCTGAAATTTCGACACTTAATATTGCGTCTTTGAAGAACTGTGGAAAATACTCCTGAACTTTAAAAGGTAAAAGGAAAAAAACACGGCCCCGTATCCCTTGGTCTCTACAATTGCTGCAAGGAGACTCCATCATCCACATACCTCCATACAGGCCAAAACGAAATGAATGATGATATTCGCAGAACTACAGAACAGTTCAACAAACAGGCTGCAGACAATTAAATAAGAAGTATGGAACAAACTGCCCAGTTGTGTTGTTCAAGCCGATAACCTGGCTCTCTCCAAGAATCAGCTCAGTGGATCCTCAGATCATGTAACTACTAACCACCAAACGGGATACATGAGCCGAATGGCCTCCTTTTGGTGATCTTTTGTAACCTTTCTTGTGTTGTTAATACATCATGGTCATTGGCTAAACTATAGGTATTTCATTAACTACTTCATTCATAAAGGAATACTTACATATGGGCACAACATCCAGAAATAAAGTCTGGTCATGTACAGAGGACTGACATTCACATTCCTTATTAATGTCAGGCACAGAGCTCTGATGTGCAGTTTGTTGGCCTGCAGTCATTCATCAATTTACTTTACTTTTACTGTAATTCTGGGGAGAGGGATTCTGAACAGCTATAATTGTAAACCACAATTCTGTGTCGTAGTGTGATTACCAGCCTGGCTCACAAAACTGGAATGACAGCCAGTCTGATCTCAAAGGGCTGTACCGATGGAATTTCTGATTATGCCTACTGACATTAAAATATATATATATTGCATTTCTTTTTTTTTTCTTAGCGTTCGGGAGCAACATGTGTGCTACTGTATCTCCAGCTATAAAATATTTTAATTAGGCTCTTCTAAAAAACATTTTCACTTAATACACAGGAAAAAAGCAACTTCGTATTTTGAAGCAAGGCAACCACAAATTGCGACTGTTCATTCTTAATAAATCTTTAGAAATAGCCATTTCTCAAACCATGAATAACTATTCTAGAATCGTTTACCTGAAATTACATTGCACCTGGTACAAGACTGATGCTAACGGTTAGTGCTTCACGTATATCTTTTATTTTCCACTTTTTAAAAAGAATAAGTCTACCTTGGAGAAAGCGTTAGACCCCTGTGATTTACTTGCAGTGTGCATCGCAAATACAAGCATCTGTTCACTTCCGTGGTTCTATTCACTACGAGTGTCTAGTGTCTGACCTTCAGAGGAGACCTAGTTATTGCCTCAGACAGTTCTCGGAAATAGCCGTGTGGAAATCCGTTGCCACAGAACCTTGGATATACAAATATTCATTCTTGTCACAAACGCAGAAGCTGTAGTAGAGCTGTCCGTCACGAAGTCAGACAAAACAGGGCCCAATCAGAAAAAAATCTCTCTATATATGTGACAAATATGCCAATCAGACCACATAATTGGAGCTAATTATGAGGAGATGTA